CTCACTCGCACACATACGCATGCACACACACACTCACTCACACACACACACACACACACACACATACATAAGGGAACACTGTGTCGTTCAGTCACTGTACAATGACTCATTATCATCCGTTTGACTGGTGAATTAATTGATTAACCTCGTTTACAGGCACATATTGTACAAATGCATTGTGTTTGCGTGTCAAAACTGCTGTTGTCCACTCTGAAGTGTGTACTTTGTGCAGTGCACACTACATGTGACTAGTGTTGTGTAGATGAGTCCTGGTGTCCACAAATGCACAGCGAGCACAAATCAATGGATGAATCAGTGATGCGAACTGATCAGCTGCACTGTGTGTTTTCTCTCTATATTGTCGAGTTGATCAGGTAATATGGACTGAAGTATGAGGTTGTGGCTGCTGCAGTGTGCCATTTACCTCTTTATGTATTCCCATTCAACCACAAATACACAACCACACACACTGCGTCAGCAACCATGTCTAATAATATCAACGCATCTAAACGCGGTAAACTTATGTTTAAACATCTGAGCTGCTAAACAAACACGTCACATTTGGTCGTGACCCACAAACTAGAGATTTCACAAACTTAACTAGTCATCATTATGCAATTTCAGGGAACAGCCATTAAACTGTGCTCATTCTGAGAATGAGCATTAAACAGCTGTGGCCTCTGAACTTCTAGAATTATTATGTGTTAAATACAGGTCTGTAAGAAATTAAGGCTTTTATTCTTCAAGGATGCATTAAATCGATCAAAAGTGAGAATAAAGATGTTTATAATGCCACAAAAGATTTCTATTTCAAATAAATGCCGTTCTTTTGAACTTTCTGTTCATCTGTGAATCCTGAAAAATAAAATGCATCACAGTTTCCACAAAAATATTGTGCAGCGCAACTGTTTTCAACATTGATAATAATCAGAAATGTTTCTTGAGCAGCAAATCAGCATCTTAGAATGATTTCTGAAGATCATGTGACACTGAAGACTGGAGTAATGATGCTGAAAATACAGCTGCGAATCATTATTTTAGGTTATAATATTACATTTGTTACATAAATGCATAAAAGACTACAAATCTTAAAAAATGTTAAAAATGTACCCACCCAAATCTTTGAATGGTATATATATACAGTATATGTGACCCTGCAGCACAAAAGCAGTGTTAAGTCGCTG